AGATAAGATGGGAATACAGAAAATTAAAAATAGTTCCACGATTTAATGTGGTAGAATAATAAATTAGTTCTTTTCCTTTAAAATGTGTTTCACTATAATTATACCAAGTATATAATTATACCAAAAAAAATTTTGGAAGGGGACAAAGCAGGGGATCAAACAGTTTACAAACTATTGCAGTTTATAATGCCTGGTGAAAGGTTCAAGTCAACACCTACCACTGTTACTCTTTTKTTTCTCAATGTTTCAATACTAACATATGAGCATTTGCTCTGTAATGTTTATTTGTAAGAACAGTACCTCAAAACTGTTGGTTCAGGCATTCCAGGATCTGCACCCCTTTTAAATCCTGAAAGGAAGAAGGAGGGTGAAGAAAAAAAAATACTAATTAATACCCCAGCAGACAAAAAAAAAAATCTACCTTGAAGACTTTTTTAAAAATCTAACCTAGGACAGCTATCTAGATCTATCAACTCTATCTAGATATACTGGGGCTACAGAATAGTTTCCAATCTTCACTAGAATGTGAAATTATGTCCAGGACTAATAAGAAGGAATAACAAGCTACTTAATTCTAGCATATACACAATTAACACAGAAGCTCTTAGCATCCTCTACTTTTCATTATTGGTCATTACCCAGAAATGTTACAGCAATTCCCAAATCATACTGGATGACAGACTACAAAGAGCACAAAGACCAAAAAACCAACAACAGCTAATCTTTTTCAAAAACAAAACTGAGGATATCATATTTTATTCCAAACAAACCTCTCTTTTTATAAAGCAAAGTCTAGTGATACAAAAGAAAGGAGGCAGGGTGCAGTGGCACTCCCAATGAAGGATTGCAAATTCAAAGCCAGCCTCAGCAACTTAGCAAGGCCCTGTCTCAAAAACAAAAAAAAATTTAAAAAGGTTAAGTATTCTGGATTCAATCCCTGGTTCCCATTCCCTCACCCAAAATTTTGATTTGATGACATATGCTAATTTGCTTAAATAACTGATTAAAATCAGAATATAAAGAACTGGGAGGGGTCTGAAATTTTACCCTATTTTCAGGACAACAAACTAGCCTTCCAGTTTCACAAGAGTTTAAGACACAAGGTCCTGAGTCAGTCACAGCGATAGCTGTAGTCAGAGTTTCATCATATTATCTTCAATAACCCAAGACCTGATGCAAAGTCCCAGGAAGAAGGCCAGTTGATAACTGCACATATAGTGAAGATAAATCCTACATTTAGGGAACCATGAACTGTTGGGCTGAAAGTATGTCTCCCCTTGGCTCTGGAAGGTTGTTCTATAAACACCCCCAAAAGATAACATGGAACCAAGGGTCATCAGAGTCTCCACACACAAGATTACAGAAAGACAAGAGTCCATGTAGAACTGTCTTTCAACTGGTGGCACATTAAAACCTTTTTGTTGCTTAATGTCACTTTCTGTCACATCTTACAGCACTATATGCAATCAAGCCCTAAAATGTCTTGAATTACATAGGATTAATCTGTGGATGCAGATTTTAGTGTGAATTAAAGAACCTTGGAATTGGTTTAAACATAATGTTAAATTTTATATATAGTGTAAAAGAAACGACACTAATAAACAAGGAATAAGTTCTAGAAAGATAACTTTAACATAAATCTCAAAAAACCTGAGTTAGACGCTAGGATGAAAAAATTAACATGATGGTTGTCTTAGGAAARGGAATCATTGTGCATAAAGGAAAATAAACTCTAGTATGCTAAAGGAAAATATTATCCATTCTTCTGATGAAAGCCACCTAGACCCACCTGGAGATGAAGAGAAACGCCCTGAATACCCACTTAGTGCCAAATAGTTATCACTTTCACAGACATCGGGTCATCATCTAACCCCCACGACAATCCTGAAAAGTAAATCTTGCCTCCGTTTTACAGAATGGGAGGAATTACGTCACTTGTTAAACACCACACAACTAGTAAAAGAGGGAATTAGGTTTAAATCGACCCCACTAGACCGGACAGCCTCAGAAGACCTGCACCGCGGGATCACGTTTCCGTCTCCCGCTCACGAAGGCCAAAGATGGAGTCGCAGACGCCATCAACTCCTTCCCTCAAGTCTCCTCCCAGGCTCTTCTCCCACTGACCCAAGTAAATCACGAGAGGAATAAAGCCCCAACGGATGGCAAACTGGCCGCCCTTGAAGAGCTGCTGCAGCCTCTGTTTAGCCTCTTTACTCAGCTTCACCATGGCGACGGCCGGGCGACGCAGTGTGGATCCCCACCGCAGTGACCGGGTCCGTAATCCGAAAGGGAGGAGAGGCGCGCATGCGCTCTACACGGGCTTTACGGCAGGAGTCGTGAGCGTGACCAGCAGAGGTCGTAATTCATTGCTCTTAACCGGCCCAGCTCCTCCGCGGCGCTGCTGGTGGAATAATCTTGCGTAGTTGGCTCCCCTTTCTGCTTGAGATCTCGGCGTTCACGTTACTTATCACAATTTAGTCATCTTCTGGGGTTGCGGTCCGCGATGGGATACTGGGAGGCACAGTTCTCCAAGTTCCCTGAACCTGAAACGACCTGTCTTCCCACAGTCTTAACTATTTTTAAAGCGCATCTCCAAAGTGGTCCTTTCTTCACATAAAAGCCATATAAAATCTGAAAGAACTGGGCTTTAGTCCCGACTCTGTGTGATTTGTTGTATAATCTTGAATAAGTTATCTAACTACTCAGAACACGTTTCTTGAAAGCTGGGAGTTGAACTGGAAGGAAGGGTACTAACTGAGGGACAATACATGCTTGCTTTACCCACGGACCCCACTCCGTCCCCAACCTTGGTGTTCTTTGGACGTGTGTGTGTGTGTGTGTGTGTGTGTGTGTGTGTGTGTGTGTGTATGTCTGCAGAGGGACTGAAACCAGGGGCACTCTACCACTGAGCTACATCCCCGGTCTTTTTTTATTTTTTGAAACAGGATCTTGCTGCATTGCTGAGGCTGGGCTCGAACTAGCAATCCTTCAACCTTAGCTTCCCAAATCGCGCCACCATCCTGACTTAAACGTTTTAAAATGCTTGCCAACGTTTTGAAATTTGGGAAATTTCACCTGAAATTTTGGACCTTTTCAAAAAAGCTGTCAATAAACATTGAAACAATCGAAGACAGTTAATAAGAAATTACACTCCTGGGGCTGAGGTTGTGGCTCAGCGGTAGAGCGCTCGCCTATCATGTGCGAGGCACTGGGTTCCATCCTCAGCACCACATAAAAATACAAACAAATAAAAATAAAGGTATTGTGTCCAACTACAACTAAAAAAATATTTTAAAAGAAGAAGAAAGAAAGAAATTACACTCCTGTTCGCCCTCCTGTTCGCCCATCTTGCCCTCAATGATTTAGAATTGCAGTGGTTCTGGACTCTAGCTGCACATTAGAATTACTCAAAGAGATTTAAAGTCATACTCATGTTGCCAGGGATGCAAGCTATTCCTAGAAATTCTGATTCCTTTTTGGTCGAGCTTGGCCATTGATTTGCCTTTGCAGTTCCCAGGCTGATTCTAAGGTGTAGCCAATCTGATCACTGTCATATTTGAGCTTTTGACTCCAGATCTAGGATTTCCTGATTTCTAAGGCTCTAAGAGACAGATATCTAAGGTTTGACCTTGAATATTTTCATGAGTCATTCCCAAGCTATATAGTCACATTTTCTGTGAAACTCTTAAATGCCCAATAGCACCTAAAAATTTACCCTTGCATTATAGTTTTTTCTGTGCTTGGCTAATCTTCATAATAACAACCACCCGTGTCTAGTACAACTGTCACTACCTTAAGTGCTTTAAATACAATCGTTCATTTTAGTGTGTGGAAGAATTTGCAAATTGCATTGTTTTTATTAAGCTATATATGTTATAGATCTCCTTTTACAAATAAGGAAAGTGAGATTCTGATATTAAATAATTGATTCAAGATGATATAGTTGGTTGTGCTCTTAATCATATCACCTCCATGCTGTCATCTGATTTCTTCCACAAGAAACTGTTTCTTTCTAATCTTTTCATGAACTGCCTAATACATAGTAAGAATGCAGTGAATGTGCTATTCTATCAGTTAGGCTAAACAATATTGAGATCATTTGCCTTCCTGTATGCTAGGCACTACAGATGTATAATTTTTTTTAAATGCATGTCTGTATGTGCTGGGAATTGAAAACTGGGGCTTTGCACTAGCTAAGCTTACAACTTTACCACTGAGCTATAAACACAGTCCAATATTTTCTTTTTTCTTTTATTTTTCAGAGACATAGAGATTTATTTGGGAAAATAGAGGCACATTCAAAGGAGAATGTGGACTATCTCAAGAATGAAAAACTTTGAAGATAAATCGAGGRATATAAATGTAACCGAGAATGTGGGCATTGCCTGAGGGAGAAACAACAAGCCCATGATGTGTGGTATTAATATTTATAGAGGGACAGTTGCTAGGAGCTGGACTAGAGGTGAAGCCAGGGCAGAGTTACACAATTTCACATATTTTCCTGTGCTCTAGCATTGCCCTCATTGCTTTTTCAGGCAAGAGCATGGATCAAGAGCATGGGCCAACGGCTCAAGCCCAAAATTTTCTAAGGAAGCATTACTCTTAAGAATTTCATTGTTGGGCTGGGGTTGTGGCTTAGTGGTAGAGCACTCATCTCACATGAGTGAGGCACTGGGTTCAATCCTTAGCACTACATAAAGATAAATAAAATAAAGGTATTGTATCCATCTACAACTTAATTTTTTAAATTTCATTGTTAAGTGAAAAAGAAATTAACTGAATCCAATGCAATGTGAATATATTCTTGGTCCTACAATAAAATTATTTATCAAATAAATATGATCAGCAAATAAATGTAAGACACCTAACATTGTCTAGGGAAGTCAAGGAACTTTTGAAGAAGGCAAATGATAAATTGGAGAGAAGGAATAAGTTTGAGCATCATTAAGAAGGTAAAATCATCTGGGCACAGTGGTGCACCCCTATACTCCCAGTGGCTTTGGAGGATGSTGAGTTTTCAAACCCAGCATCAGCAAAAGCAAGGAACAAAGCAACTTAGTGAGACCCTGTCTCTCAATAAAATACAAAATTGGGCTGGGGATGTGGCTCAGTGGTCAAGTGACCCTGAGTTCAATCCCTGGTTCAAAAAAAGGAAGAAGGAAGAGGAGGAGGAGGAGGAGGAGGAGGAGGAGGAAGAGAAATCAGCAGGATTTGTGGGTCAAATGAATGTGGAGAGCAAAGCTGAAAGAGATAGTCAAGGATGACTACCTAGTTTTGAGTATGCGCAACTTAACTGATCTAATAGTCGCACTCCTTCATTTCCAAAGTCTAAATTATGTAGCTTCACCTGTACAATGACTCCTACACATAGGTTCTAAGTGGGAGCAACATTATTTTGGCTGGAGGATATTATGCTCCTTGAAAACATTTCTTGTTAAAGGAAAAAAGTTTTCACTCTTGATATGCCCTCCTGGTTCAGGTTTACATTGCCTAGTCAAAGCAATGAAAAAATAAATGGTCTGCCTACATGTGGTCTCCACCCCGACTGTCTAACCGACACACTGTGGTCCACACTAATCTCTATCACAATTCTGCTCATGTCACTCCCCTTTCCAAAAACCTCCAATGAGTTGCCAAGCGCTACCACCCTAAATCTCACTTTTCTCTTCTGAAAATAAGTGTAATACCCAAGACATCATTGTAAGAAATAAAAGCAGTTCATATTTATGAAGAGTAATTGCAAACCATAGAGTGTTAAACAAGTTGTAATATCACAGTCGATGATAAAGGTAGTACTCAGAAAATRCTAAATTACTAGAAACAACAAAGAAAATAGACCAAGTCAGGAAAAGAGAGCTAGGCTTGTGAGCTGATGAATCAGAAAAAGTATCTATGCATTTGTAACCAAGTTTTTATATATTTATTCATTCTGGAAGATTGAGTACTGAGTATGTCATATTTATGTAATAATCATTTTGGGGCATGATCCCCTCTTAAAGATTTTCCCATCTATTTGGAAACAAAGACAAGTATTATTAACAAGTTATTTGTCCATGTGACTAAACTTTGGGAAAACAATAACATAAACATAAGATTAAGCACAGAGACCCAGTAGGGGACAAAAGGTTTTCATTTGAATCCTGGTTCTCTCATTTAGCTGTCAAGTTATTTTACCTCTGAGTCTCATCTGCAAAGGAGGATAACAACAGTGCCACTTCCTTCACTTAATGTAAATACAAAATTAATCTACCTCAAATTCAGTGCCTATCTAAGTGAAGATTTAATCATATATAAGCTGTTAGTATTATTGTTTGTTTGCATAGTTTCAGTTTCAAAGATCAAGATTTTTTTTCAGAAGGTTTTTTTCTTTAATTCAAAAACTGTCTATGTCAATTGTCTGCACCTAATAGATACACAGCCCTGAAGTAGGTACAGAAAGGAATATGCAATAGAGGAACAGTTGAATATAGTCCTCAAGGACTTAGAAAACATGTGGATCTAAGATCAGATTTGCCAAAATTTAAATCCAATGTTGCCATTCACTCAAAATGAGAACCTTGAGGACTAGTTGATAACACATCAGAAGGGCTAATTAACTCACCATGGTTACCAGGAAAATAGGGACTAGTTTCTAAAAGGGTGCCAACTAAATGAGCCAAATGAAAAAAAAGAAATTTTTATTATGTATCTTGTTTCTCACAAATGTTATATTTAAAAACTACATTAGTTTTCAAACACTAGGTTTTATTTCTTGGGTTTTATCTCTTACTTTGTCCTCTTTTTTTCCTGCTAGGGTATTTTTGAGCTGCTGAATAATTCCTTATTCCCATGATACAGCTTGGAAGTATTTCTTTTTTTTAGTTCTAGATGGACCCAATACTTTTATTTATTTTCATGTGGTGCTGAGGATCGAACCCAGTACCTCACACGTGCTAGGCAAGTGCTCTACCACTGAGCTGCAACTTCAGCTCCAGAATTCTTAAGCACATCAAGCAAACATACACATGAAATAAAATTTTCACAAAGAAGAGATTAGTTAAAAAAAAAATCACAGGAACATCAACCAAGTGTAAGGTTTGGCGGGGAAAAGGGAGTTTCAGGAAATAGTCATGCTCAGACACCACAAGGATCTAGGTCATCTTATTTGGAGATAGAGTACATAGAACACTGGAGAACCTAGGCTAAGAACCTCAAAATGTAGGGCAGACTCTACATTGTTATAGGAGTTGAAAGAAATCACAGACGGCTGGGGAGTGCAGGGGAAACTTCACAAAAGTAAGCCCAAGTTGACTGTTTGTTTTTGTTTTT